GCACCCGACGGTTCAAGAGCAGCGCCCGTCGAGGAGTCCGCTACCGTATCCGTCGTTTCTTCCAAAATAGCCTTGACCTCTCTCGAAAGGACGGATGGATCTACCGAGGGTACGACACTCTACACAACATCTTCCTCAGCATCGCTACGGTCCATCTCGTCTTGAAATAAGAGAAACTCAGAAATCCGAGCATCCTGCGGATGTGCTATAGGATTGTCATTGGATGGGACTTCACAGTTTTGTTGATCACCTTGGGAAGAAGACATCTTAAATTTTTCTAGAGAGAAGTTGGAGAGAAACTTGAGAGGTGGAAGATATGAGAAGTAATGATCCAATACTTCTAGAAAAAAGAGAGCTCTCCCTCGTAATGAGACAAATCTTAGCCGTAGATTCCGATTTAAAACTAACTCCATCCACCCGCAAAATTTCCTCAAGAAATTGCAGGCTGGGGGGCTAACTGTTGGTGTCAAAAACCGTAATCTCGAAATCAACGTCTATGATAACTTCTGGAATCATTACTTTCCGCAAAAGTCATTTATTAAAACTTGAGAGTCGTTTTATAAAACTCGAGGACCGTTTTATAAAACTCGAGAATCGTTTTATAAAACTGAAGAACCGTTTTATAAAACTCGAGAATCGTTTTATAAAACTCGAGACTCGTTTTATAAAACTCGACGATCGTTTTATAAAACTCGAGAATCATTTTATAAAACTCGAAGAATCGTTTTAGAAAACTCGAAGAATCATTTTATAAAACTCGAGAATCGTTTTATAAAACTCGAGAATCGTTTTATAAAACTCGAAGAATCGTTTTATAAAAATCGAAGATCGTTTTATAAAACTCGAGAATCATTTTATAAAACTCAAGAATCGTTTTATAAAACTCGAAGATCGTTTTACGAAACCGCAAAAAACCGAAACAGCCGTAAAACGCGAACTAGTCCCATCACGACTAGTTCGCCCACCGGCGAACTAGTCCCGTCCCGACTAGTTCCCCCACCGGCGAACTAGGCCAGCCGGCTTAGTTCGCCGTTGGGCGAACTAGAGACTTCCCGGATAGCCCGCGCCTCGATCTCCCGCATCCCCGATTCGAAACTTACGTCCTTCGACACGATCGCGTTCCGAACCACGGCCGAAATGTCTCCCGTTTCGTCTCGATCTCTCCTATCGTTCGAGTTTTACGATAAAAACCGTGAAACTTCATTTTCTCGAAAAGAACTCGAGGAAATCGTATAAAACGGCAAGGGTTAAATGAAACACCGAACATTGCCTAAACTATACGATTTATTCGAGATTTTTCGTAAAATCGTAAAAAACGTGTTTTTTAATAAAAACGTCGAGTAAATCGTAAAAACGGCAACGATTAACCAAAGAAAAAGGATGCAGCTAAACTTTACGATTAACTCGGAGAATTTACTAAAAACGGCATCGGATCAGGAAACGATCTCGTACAAAGTTGCAAAAACGGATTTATCGCACAACGGCCCGGAAGGTCCTAAAACGCGATAAAAAGCCCATCTCGCGATCTTGACGGAGTCTAACCCGAAGATACGATAAAGTTTTGACGGTTTACTCGCAGAAGGAAAATAAATGTCAAGTTTGAAGATAAAAGGCAAGTTTGAAAATAAATAGAAGATTTTCGCGGAAGAAAATGAAAGATCGAACCGTCAAGGCAAGGAGTATATAAACCAGAGGCGCATGGCAGAAGAGGGGGGACGAAAATCAGACCTAAAACGACGGCTGTTAGCTTAGGAATTTAGGACTTAGCGTTTTGAATAGCAATCTAGATCCTTAGAACGTTTCGACGTCTAAGTTCTTCAATTCTTCTTGTAACAGTTGTCGATTCTTTAATAAAAGCTTTCATACAAGTTCTTATTTCTCTGTTCTTCATTGTTCATCCATATTCTTTTAAATTCGTTTGTTTTAATGATTTCCGCAGAGATCCAGGACCTCGGGAAAATTAGGGTTTCATCCTAAGTTTCCATATTTGACGGAAAATCGACAGTGTGGATTTCGGTTCCCACAACAAACAAAGGACTGAAGTAAAAAGTGCTTCAGTCTCTCCCAAAGCTCACTGTATTGCTGAAATTACATTCGTCAGAAAAACTTGCCAAGCATGGCGACAAGATTTGATTCGTGTTCGTCAAAGAGAATGGAGAAGAAAAAAATTTAATATTTTCTTCAATGCTAAAAACAAAAACAACAACAAAATAAAAATGTCACACAAAGATTTTCGTACTGTATGAGACTGGAGTCATATTTAATTATCGTGTTTAATTAACACACTAATGATACCGAGTTCAAAGAGAAAGAATTGAATACTGTATGAGTTCACAGATAAAAATGTCAAAGAGAAAAATGTCATATTGTATTAGTTTAATTAACACACTAATGATAACGAGTTCAAAGATAAAAATGTCGTACAAATATTTGTGTATTGTATGAGACTGGAGTCATATTTAATTAACACACTAACGCTAACAAGTTCAAAGAGAGAAAAATGAATTATCATGAGACTGGAGTCATATTTAGACGTATCATCTGTTTAGGTTGTATAAGACCCGATCAAAATTGTAAAAGTTGTTATTATTCTTTTTCCCATATTAGCATATATTTTCTATCCCTGGAGCTTGGAAATAATCTCTTTTTAATGTCAATTTTAATTTTTAACTAGATTCTGACCCGTCCTCCAATGGGCGGATATATTTTTTGTTTTCATTATTTTAGAAATTTAATTTTCATATCTGTGTTTTTCTTTGTAAAATGTGGTTTCAGTCAAAATCCTCCACCGTTGGTAGCAGCGACAAACAAAGGACTGAAGTACAAAGTGCTTCAGTCTCTCCCAAAGCTCACTGTATCGCTGAAATTACATTCGTCAGAAAAACTTGCCCAAGCATGGCGACAAGATTTGATTCGTGTTCGTCAAAGAGAATGGAGAAGAAAAAAATTTAATATTTTCTTCAATGCTAAAAAAAAAAAAACAACAAAATAAAAATGTCACACAAAGATTTTCGTACAGTATGAGACTGGAGTCATATTTAATTATCTTGTTTAATTAACACACTAATGATACCGAGTTCAAAGAGAAAAAATTGAATACTGTATGAGTTCAAAGATAAAAATGTCAAAGAGAAAAAATGTCATATTGTATGAGTTTAATTAACACACTAACGCTAACGAGTTCAGAGAGAGAAAGATGAATTATCATGAGACTGGAGTCATATTTACACGTATCATCTGTTTAGGTTGTATAGGACACGATCAAAATTGTTAAAGTTGTTATTACCCTTTTTCCCAAATTAGCATATATTTTCTATCCCTGGAGCTTCGAAATAACCTCTTTTTAATGTCAATTTCAATTTTAACTAGATTCTGACCCGTTCTCCAAAGGGCGGATATATTTTTGTTTTCATTATTTTAGAAATTTAATTTTTATATCTGTGTTTTTCTTTGTAATCATATTTTTGTTATTCTTTGTAATTGTATTTGTGAAAAATATTCTTTTAAATGATTAGTAAGAGGTTTTGATAATTGTATTGAATTTAGTAAGAGGTTTCGAAATAGTCTATTTTGAATGCCACTTTTAATTTTAACTAGATTCGGACCCGCCCTCCAAAGGGCGGATATATTGTTTGTTATTAATAAGCATAATATTATTATTAATTTTGAACTATATTTTAATTATTGAAATATCTAATTTGGATAAAAATGTAAATTCATATTGAATAAGGTATAAGTTTCAAAAAGCAATATAGAAGAGGTAGTTTTCAAATACCAGACTGATAATAGAGTAATTTAAAAATTATCCCTCGTTATTTTCCATTAATATTAGTTAAATACTTTATTAAATGCAAAAAAAGAAAAACAAAAACAAAAAAACATACAAAGATTCAAACTCTTGTAATGTAATACACTAAATATAGTTATTTATCAATGGTGGTGAGGTTAGTCAGAACATATTCAAAATACATTTATATAATGTTTTTTACTCTTCAAAACTGAAATCTAAAACTTTAAAATTGAAATTTTGAATTGTAAAACTTCAAATATAAAGTGTTACTATGCAAAACTTTAAATTTAAAGTTTCATATTTTATTTACATTTTGGTTCTCACATTATTACACTAAATATAAAATTGTAGATAGAAATATATAATTAAATATTAAACTACAAACAAAAGACCACATTCAGTTTTGTAATATTGTTGTTGTATAGTTTTAGTTTTAAGAAATTTTAAATCTTATCTTAATTTTTAAAAAAAAAATATTTATAAAGTTTGAATTTATTTAAAAAAATTGAAATTTTATGAAATAAGAATTATTATGGATTACAACTATAAAGAAAAAAATATTTAACAATCAATATTTCTGTAGTATTTTCATATATGTGCTAGTTATTTATAATTTTTTTATGAATTTTAACTAGTTATGAAAAATATAGGGACCATAGTAAAATATAAATAGTTTGAAGTTAAGTTTAAAAATTTGTTTTTGGAGAATAATACATTTAAATTTCAAATATAGAGTTTTGGAAACTCTAAAATAGACAGTATTTTTGGAGATGCTCTTAGTACTATAATATTAAAAGAGAGAAAAAATAGGATTAAAGAGAATAAATATTGAAATTTCTTTAGAGAGTGAGATGATGGAGAAGAAAATAAGATGAAATTGTAGAATGTATATAAGACTGTGTTTTCTATTGAATAAAACCACCACAATTAAAGATTAAAAAAAACTTAAAAAAAAATTTCCATAATTTGGAAATAGGATAAATAAAAACACCATAGATCTATAAAAGCANGATTAAAGAGAATAAATATTGAAATTTCTTTAGAGAGTGAGATGATGGAGAAGAAAATAAGATGAAATTGTAGAATGTATATAAGACTGTGTTTTCTATTGAATAAAACCACCACAATTAAAGATTAAAAAAAACTTAAAAAAAAATTTCCATAATTTGGAAATAGGATAAATAAAAACACCATAGATCTATAAAAGCACTTAGCAGATAGCTTCGACAGCGAGCCTCCTAGCAGCACCATTGCAATCAGGTGCTCCAAACTTTTCCGTAGAAACATTAAAGGAGCACTTCTCTTTTCCCACACATTCTTGTGTGAGAATATCAACAATGTTGTTACTTGATGCACAAGTTCCTTTTTCGAAAGATCCACAATTGCCATCTGGGTTACCAAAAGAGGCAAATTTGATGGCAGAAATGGATTTTCTGTCACATGAAAGCTCAATAATGTTTTTCTCATAGACATTAGCACATACACTTCCCACTCTAGTAGTTTGGAAATTCACAAGTGATGGGTTTCCTCCCATTTCCTCAAACAAAACTAGAGTGTTATTTCCACTTGTGTTCAAGAAAGAACGAGGAATATGGTACCTGTTCAAGAAAGCAACAAATCCCATTAAATATTTCTCAATTTTAACATTAAGATTTT